CATTACAATACTTATAAGACTCCCCTATAACACTGTAGATAATTCCGTGTTATATGAATTGCATGTTGTACGAGTCACTTAGATTTTACAAATACGTGAGCCGTTCACAGTCCGGCACGCGTATTTGTAAAATCTAAGTGACTCGTACAACACGGAATTCATATAAAACGGAAAAATCAATAGTGTTATAGGGGGGTGGTCGACTGTAAGTTGCTTAACCTAGTTACAATAATATGCTAAATTTATCTTAAGTTACTTATAAAGAATTAAATAAATATTCTCATAACAATTAACTCATTTCAGAATAATTTTCCTTATATATATATATATTTAAAACTGTACAAAAATAACATTTACAATTGTCAAAAAGTATATAAAAATACTTTTTTTTTATAAATTTATCAATTTTCTATTGAATAAATATAGAATATTTATCAATTATTTACCTTTTCTACTGTTTAGGGAGGTTGTTTTACTTTCCTCTTTCCCTTCTGAATGCTTAAAATGTTATAGAAATGATCGCAGTTGCTCTCAATAATATAATGTTTTGTTACTTCTGATTGGCTGTACATTTTTCCTGTTTTAAATCCAGTTTTTTATTAGACAGTGTCTTAACGTTCTATTAATACAACACAGGTTATAGTTTGCTAGAAAATTATGGAATCTTTATCGAATCGATCGACTTTTAAGGAAAATATAAGGTATATAAATCACTTCTATAATCGATATACACAGTCACTTATAATAAAGTATACAGGGATAAATAATTTATGTACTGTACGTCTGTACACATGAACTATTCCTTTTTTTTTTTTCTTGGGGTGTTTTTCTGGTTCAGAACTTCTTGTTAGTGTGAAATTATTCATTGAGTTATTTTTAATTGAGGGGAAACTCTATGAAATTTTGCTAAATTTTCCAAGTAAATGATGTTAATTATTGTTAATTTTAAATTAATTAATTGCGTAAATATAAAATGAAATTAATTAAAGAGAAATTTCATATACAGTCGACCCCCTTATAACACTGTTGATTATTCCGTTTTATATGAATTGCATGTTGTACGAGTCACTTAGATTTTACAACATGGAATTCATATAAAACGGAATAATCAACAGTGTTATAGGGGGGTCGACTGTAAATAACGTTAAAAGTCCTGTTATTAATTGAATAATTTTTTTGTATTATTCTGATTCAGTAAAAAAAAAAAAAACATGAACCTCCCAAAACGGACACCTCTAAACGGCGGCCATTTGTTTTTAAACGTTACCTTCAGTATTCGTTATTCAGGGGTTTTGACACTATTAAGAATATTTATGTAATTATTCATTGGAGAGACCTACATTCCGCGGGGGATGATTAATTAAGACTGATGAAGACGATAGTGGATTTATTATAAAATTTTGTGATATTTATGAAGGTACCACGTACAGTACCAATTATGGTATCTCGATCGCTGCACGTGCTGGTGAAATCTTCCATAGATTTTCATATTCGTGTTTATATGTGAATTCGATGACACGTGGACGAGGTAAGCGACCGACCTCGATTTTACCGACTATTTTACGAGTGGGCCAATTCGTAATAAGGCCAATCAGCTGCACGAGAGGGGGAGGAACGTTAATGTCGCTCTCGATTAACCGTGAAAAATCACGAGGTTTGTGACTTGGATTCCAATCCGGAGCCCTAAAGTTTGAAAGAAGATATCCGATTTCTCCACCTCGTATATTGTAGTTGCATTAGATAGCCTCATAACTACTCAGTTATGAGGCTATCTAATGCAAATACACGCTACTTAAATATTTCATTGAAATTTCATGAAATTACTTTTAAGTTTTTCACTCTTATTTTCGGTACAGGAAAATTAAATTGACTTTTTTTCTTTCTTTCTTCCTTTCTTTCTATTTTTATTTATTTTCCTGCTTCGGGGGGAGAATCTTTTTTGAAATGGAATCTAACGAAATAAATTAAATAATTGACGTTTCGGTTCAGTAGTTTACTTTTCGAATTATTCGATACAGCGTGCCCCAAAAGTGAGTTAACCATGTTTTGTTTCTTCGTGTTTTAGGTGTTTTTGTTTCTTCGTGTTATTCTCAATCATATATATAATTGAGAATATATATGATAAGCCGAGTTTAAATCGTGTTTCTGTTTTAAAAAGTTAGTAAGAAACATTAATTAATTTATTGGCATCATAGGCATTACAATGGTTAACCGACTTTTGATCCACCCTGATTTTTTTCGTTATTAAAAGTAACTGTAAAAGGCTGTTAATGTTAAAAATAAGTAAGTCTTATTTTATTTATTACTAGCTGCAAGTAACCGCTTCGCTGGGTTTTTATTTTTTCGTACATTTATATGTAATATAGTTTTTTTTATATATATAAAAGACTGTTTCTCTTCCTTCACATAATCTTTCTCTGATTCGATGTGTTTCCCTATAATTTTCAAGTTGCTCTTCCGTCTGATTATTTCTGTTTCGTTGATAATTTCTTCGTTGCAATATTAGGTGTAGACCTACTTCTCTTTCTTCTGTGGTTTCATTTTTCCGCGCCATCTTTTGCCTTTAAGATATGATTCAAGACCGCAAAAATTCTTTCTTACGCTTTGGCATTGTTTTTTTTTTTAATATTTTTTACTTTCACACTTCACTATTCTTTTCACTTTTTACTTACGAAAAATTAACTGAAGCATGTGCGTCACACGTCTCCAAAAGCCATCCCCACTACTCACACACAACGGTTGTCGACTATTCCAAAATATTTAAGATTAAAATTAAGGTTACATTATAACCAATCTTACCAGTTTTCACAGAATACAAGAATTAGGTCCCCTGTTTCCAGACTAATTAGAGAATTTTTACATGGGTCTAAAAATATGTTCGATTTCCCCCAAAAACGCAAAAAATCGCATCTGCTCCTGTAAATCTTGCACGCCGCTTTCTCTTAACACTTCCTTTGTTACTCAACACTTCCATTGTTAACACTTCTATTATTGACACTTCCATTGTTACACATTTTTGAAGTAAACCACTTTCAACCCCTATATCTCCCACATCTTTATAGCTATCGAAACGCAACCACCACAGTGCACGATGAGATACTTGGAGATACTACCACACGCAAACGCCATTCATGGGCGATGTGTAGTTTTGGCTGCAGAGTGAAATATAAGGATAAATACGTCCATTTATAGATATAGATTACTTAATTTACATAAGTGAAGTAAAGTAATAAAACGACGTGAAATAAATTAGTAAAGTATAGTGAAGTAAATTAATAAAGTAGTAAAGTAAATTAATATAGTGAAGTGTAGTACTGCACTTCACTTCAATTTACAGTCGACCCCCTTATAAGATATAGATACGTTCCAATTTATTAGGAATCCGATTTCTTACAAGTCGTTCCAATCACAGCCCGACACGTGTCAAGTTTACGGACTACGGCTAATTGAAAGGTTTTCTTCCATAAAATTAATCGATTCTACACTAATCCGACTCAACATTTCCNGAGAAACATATTTTACTAAAAAATTACTATTAAAAACCTTTATAACAATATATGAGTTCTATGTTACTTATCATAGACACTTATAAATGCATACATTCTTCATAAAATTAATACAGTGAAACCTGTTTAAAACGAACATTTCATTGTTTTGTTTTATACAGTCGAGACGTGGCCTGAATATACAAGTTGCAGTATTAATTAACAGGATTTACTTGCGGTTAAGTCTAAAATTTGGCTTCATCTAGGACAAATTACATTATGCAATTGGTTACCTTCCGTTTCCGCATTAGACAGGTTTAGAGAGTTACAATAGCATTTTGGGATGCAAATCGTTCTGTTTCGGGCCTAAAAAAAGCTACCTTTTCCGTCTTAGACAGGTTTCAAGACATTTTACATAGTAAACTGTTTCGTTTTCAGATGCCAAGAGTCATCCATTTCCACATTAAACAAGTTTTAAGACAATAGCACTTTTTTTAACGCAGAAAATCATTCCGCTCGAACCCAAAAAATAGCTACGTTCCTCGTTAGACAGGTTTGAAGACTGGTTATTATTTTATGTAGTAAATCGTTCCGTTTCCAGGGTTTAATTTCTGTTTATACAGGTTGTTCTGTAGGCAGGTAGGCAAGTTCTGTTTAGGCGGATTGACGATTTTTAAAGGGTCCTTCTTAGACAAGTTTTACTGTATTTTATTTTTATTTTTTATTTATTTTTACCGTTAATCATTCACATTTTAACTTCGAGATCTACTGAATCTTCTTCGCTGCTTTCGGTTTAGAAATATATAAATCATAAAACAATCGAGTAAATAAATAAAAGTATACAGCATAAAGAAAAAGGCAGACATTAGCCATGAAAACAGGGAAATCGCATTTCACTCCAATCATGTACAGGAGGAAAGAACTGAAGCAAACTACCATTCCAATGATCATCTGAAGAACTTGACAAGAAGTTAAACAAATTGCCAAAATTCTGGGCAATTTAAACTCCAAAGTCATCAGAAAGTAGTAAGTGTACATGAACGAATGCACAATGACATTCATTATGGTAAACCAATGGGCAATGGCAGTTGCACGATCGGCTAAGTAGAAAACCATGGTCATGGTAACGGCGTGGTGGTACCAGTGGAGAAATATCAATTTCTTCTTTCTTAGAATTAAAAATACAGTGTCCCCCAGTTCCAGGACTTTCGAAGAGACATACAGACTACCCCAGAATATAGTAGCTTGGCTATTCAGGAATAAAGAGTTGTTGCAAACGGATGTTGCATATCCGTACCCAAGAGCATGGAGCTGAGTTGGTAGCAGTCGAAGAGATGCTCCTATGCTGAAGATTGCCAAAATTAGATTCCAAACTGCTAACTGAGGCTTCAAATTAAATGCTGGACGTGTTTTCATGTAATTTTTCAGCCAGTATATTGTACAGAAGTATATAAGTACTAGGTAAAGTGAAAAATGGCGGTAGTTTTCAAGGAGTTTTATGTTCTTTTCGCGATCGAAAAAGTTCTCAAACTCGTAGTGTTTCGGAAAATCTTCATTCTTCACTGTAGAATTATATATTTCCATCTGGAAGAAAAGAATTACAAATTTAAAACATTACCATAAAAATCTATGAAATTTTACCATAAGAATTTTTGGCATTCAAATACAGCCAAAACCTGTGTTGTATACGGCCACTGAAGGGAGCATTAAAATGACCGTTGTTTGGAGGTTATTTTTATGAATTCCACGGATACTGTCCTGAAAAATGGCCTCTGTTTACAGGTGATTCTTACATTGGAGCAAGCATCTTGGAAACTGACCAGCACACACTTAAAATGACGTCAGAAATCTAAAACAATGCAAGCTATTTAGGATAAAACACCCTAAATATGATTTTTCGGGATTTTCTTAATGAACAATCGTGGTATTTATAATTCTTTTAGCAGAAGAGACATTTTACTTTGTGCCCTCGTCATTCAAATTTGGGGTCTTGCACCCTCATGAAAACTTTCTGTGGTGTTTCTTATAGTGTATTAAAGAGTCAAAGAAAATTAAAGCGAATTTTACAGATTAACACGGTAAATAATGAGAGTTTTTGAAGCCAAGTTATGTTATAAACTCCCGTATAAGATATATTTTTAAAGATTTAATAAACTCCAATGGTGCTTTGAATCCCTGGTTAAGAAACAACGTGATAAGTCACACTAAAAGTTTGAATAGAATCAAAGATATACATATAAAATATTTAAGAGTAATAATATTACATTTTATGCAAGTAAAACCTCGTTATACCGACACCCTATATAGCGCTTCAATGAATATTCGTAAACGGATAATTGAGTGATTTTGTGTTGTTATCATCAAATCATCCGTGTTTCAAATGCTTAAACTCTAACTTATTATTATTCGGAGTACTTCAGTTTAACGCTATTTTCACAGGCGTTAAATCGAGGTTTGTCTATTCTAGCAATGCATTGTTTAACAAACACAATGGGTAATTTCCTACTAAACGACTTTTACGAAAATTGCGTGTGGAATGATTTGTTTTTTTCCCGCTTATAAGATCGCAACATTCGATAAAATTATCCACAATTAAATTAATTGTTTAAGGCAAACGGTTTATATCGCAGCCACACCTCGATTTGTCGACATCTGAAATTGGCACTAAATCGAGTGTGGGGCTAAAACCCAGCGCTTCAAATAATAAAACACAAACTCATCCAATTTGACTTTGTTCGTCAGACAACAATGTCCGTTCGCGCTTTATAAGGGTGGCGATATAACGAGGTATTGGTGTAATCAGTAATTAATGGATATTAACGAGTTATCTAATACAAATTAGGGAAGAAACCCCGGAATTATTCATGGACGGTAAATCGGGGTATGACTTGCTCCGTTCCTCACCATTGTGGGCCTGGTAAAATCCGTAGTGGACCTCAAATAAGGGCATAAAGCCAAAAAAAATTTACATGTATTCATTGGGAAGATTCCTTCACGTATATTTATATTGGCGCTTTACCAAGCTAACTTTATACAGAAATGCGGTATATCGAGGGTTGACTTTATATAAAATTATAATGTTAAATCTACTATAATAATAATATAAATCGATTTTTTTTTGACGTTTCGTAACTTCATATAAACCGCATTGGGCGACCTTGTCACTCGACAAGGGGGGGAAATATAATTTGAAAATGTCGTAATTTTATTAATAATTTATAGAAAGATCACCACTAAGGAGTGGAATTTGGGAATTTTCTGTTCCCAAATTCCATTTCTCATTATCATGACGTAAATTGAACGATATAACTCTAAGAATTCTTCTACATAACACGTTTTTACAGACCACCCCAAAAATCCCCAGGTGTTTCGTGGAGGATGTTCAATTTGGATCAAGTGGGATGATGAACACACTTTTAAGTAAATTTTACGTCATTCTTAGAACTTTTTTTTATATATAATTCGTGGTATAACGGTCGAGAAACACAGCATTTCTATGCTATGGCACTCAAAGGTTATGCCAAGAATAATGACGTTAAAATTTCAGAAAAATCATTAATAATACTAATTTTTTAATATATTTTCTGCATATTTTTGTACGGAAGTATGCATATATTTAACATAACGTTTCGTTTATGCATAAATGAGCAATTCGTTGGTGCGGTGCCAAAACTAAAGGTCAAAAGATGGCCGCTTAATACTAAAAATCTTTAGATAAATAATATTAAACCTCTCCCCCGAATATTCTATCGAATTAACCTACTTTATACAGGTAATATATTAGAATTAACGCAATTTTTATTTAAAAAAAGAGAAAATTTCGATAAAATCATCTAACAATTTATAAAATGCATACCCTCGGGTCTACATAAGACCTACAAGTATATAAAAACCGCATATAACTCGATTTAAATCTATGATAATTTTCCACTTCAATAGCCGCATAGTTTCGTGATGGAAATGATTATAAAGTAGGTCTTTAATTTAACGTTTAGTAAAGATAAAATTTACTTTTAAAAATTGTAAAGAAAATAATAAAAATTTGGACGAATTTCACGTAGAAATTGGCATAAAAAAAATGGCAAAAATTAGTCGAATTTCACGTAAAACTTGGCTTTAAAAAATGACGAAAATTAGTCGAATTTCACATAAAAATTGGCTTTAAAAAATGGCAAAAATTAGTCGAATTTAACGTAAAAATTGGCATTAAAAAATGGCAAAAATTAGTCGAATTTCACGTAAAAATTGGCATTAAAAAATAACGAAAATTAGTCGAATTTCACGTAAAAATTGGCTTTAAAAAATGGCAAAAATTAGTCGAATTTCACGTAAAAATTGGCTTTAAAAAATGGCAAAAATTAGTCGAATTTCAGGTAAAACTTGGCATTAAAAAATGGCAAAAATTAGTCAAATTTCACGTAAAACATGGCTTTAAAAACTGGCAAAAATGACTCGAATTTCACGTAAGAATTGGCTTTAAAAAATGACGAAAATTAGTCGAATTTCACGTAAAAATTGGCATTAAAAAATGACGAAAATTAGTCGAATTTCACGTAAAAATTGGCATTAAAAAATGGCGAAAATTAGTCGAATTTCACGTAAAAATTGGCATTAAAAAATAACGAAAATTAGTCGAATTTCACGTAAAAATTGGCTTTAAAAATGGCGAAAATCGAGTATAACGCGCACTAGAAACGGGATATTTTTGTCCGGTTAACACAGTTTCGCATAAGGAAGACCTACTATTTACATCATTTCCTACAAGAAAACCAGTTTTTCTATTTATTTATATAGGATTTTCCCTTTCAGAAATAGTTTACTGTGACTAATTGTCGAGATTTTCATTTAAATCTACTTTTAAAATCCACTTACAAACTACTAAACATATGCTACCTCGTCTCACTGGTAAGTAGCATTAAAATGCCATTGATATAATATATAAAAAAAAAAAA